CCTCTCCGGACGCTCTCTTCCTTTTTGTCCAGGCCCGTGGGAAACGCTCGAGAACGCTCCGCTTTGCTCCGCGAGCGGGGCGCGTCCAGCCGCGCCGATCGACCGTGACGACGCGCGATTTTCACGTTCCACTTGCTCGATCCGCTAGATCGCCACCGGGTTTTCGGCCGCTGGAAATTGTTACCCGTACCGCAGACACTTCCCTGTCCCGCCTGGATTTCACGACGTCCCAGCCATCGTTTTTCGGCGAACGCCGCCGGTCGAACAGAGGAAAACTCTTGAGCGTGTCCTCAGCTTTTTGCCATCGTGCGATTTCCCTGTACACCGACCGGTGCATTTTGTTTCGCTTGGGAAATACTGGGCTGCGGGTAACTGAACTTGTGGTCCAGTTTCTGCAGTGTTACGCTGATTGGTACACTACTCTGTCAACAAATGAACAGAACTTCGTTTAAGAGGAAAGCACGAATTCTGCATTTGTTTAACACTCGAACTGCGCGAACCTTTTCGACTAAAGTATAATCGAGTATACATAATTGAATCGTGTAGAAAAATTTTCGAACAAAAGTTACGTCTTTTGTCCTAATATATCGCGTGCTATACGATATGTTAATTGTTTGAACAGTCGAAAAAGTATATGAACAAATAATCGATGTTTTCTACTCTTTTTTTATTAGATTTGGACAAAAGATGTAAGTTCTGTTCGAAGATTTTTCTTCTATCCTGTACAGTTTGCGAATTATGGCAGTGAGATAAAAAATAGCCAGAGAATAAAGCACGCACGGGCGATTTACGATGCATAAACTGTAAATATGTATAACAAACAGCGTTGTCGGATTCATCAGATTTTTGCGAAGAACGGCTACAACTTCGTTTCAAATGCACATGTATTTCATAATTGATCGAATGAACTGACTCCTGCTCATTGTCATGTTCAATTTGCCCCATAAGCGGATCATTGGTTATAATTGCAATCTCCTCTGCTGAAATATATAAATTGATCTAATGCCGACCAACAGGTTGTACATATTGTAGACTAGACGTTTTCCAGAATTGACCTTTAATCGCGGTGTAATTCAGTTCTAAAAATATATACGTTTAACGAGACGTCGGAAATAAGTTTTAAACCAGACAGTTTCCTGAAATGAGCATTAACCCCTTGCGCTATAATATCGTTGCAAAGATTTGGATTTACTCGTTACAAAGATTCGGAACATTTGCGCCCGGAGTATAAATATCGTTATTTAATTACCTTAAATAGTGACACATGGCCCGACTTTTATTCGCGATTACAAAGGATTTTTTACATATTGCAAAATCAACCAGATTTATCTAGACATAAATGAACAAAAAATTCAGAATTTAAATTGCAAAAGTTACTTGCTTGATGATGTGAAGGAGAATCAACGGAGCGAACTACGTTCGCCAGAAAATCCAATTGCATTAAAAAAAAGCAGAATAGATAAATATTCGACTTCGAAGTTATATCGAGCAATTGAGCATATTTAAAAAAAAAACGACTTGAAGAAAATTGCTAAATAAATGTATAAATAATCGTACCCGCCGTTCGATTGTTAATTCCCGAACGACGAACGTCTGAGCGTCGCGAGGGTCGAAACGAAGGTTTTTCGACGGCACGTTCACGGGTCAATACACGCGGCGTGGCTCTATGCCAGCGTAAAATCGCTGTAAATTTCGTAACCGCGTTACACGGCGCAATTATCGGGCATACACCCTCTTCAGATTGTCTGGGGAACGGAAATTCGCCGGCGCGGCGCGGCGCGCGGTTGCGAGTAGTCATGAGTCGCGATTCACGCACCTGTAAGGCGGGAATATGTTGCGCATCGCTGCCAGCCGCGGTCCCCCATTGTGATCCGGTCGCAATTTACGAGGAAGCATTCACCGATCGAGTAGGTCGGTCTCGTTACAGGCGACAATGGCTTTAATTTCGAAGGCAGCTCGTCGGCCCGTGATAGACCAGCAGGAAATCAACGGAAAATTACGACGAGGTCGCGTCGATCGGTCGCGCTCGCAATCGCCCGTTAATAATAAAATCGTGCCGGGACACCACGATCATTATGCTCGTTTATTTTTAGACGCCGAGACTTCGGTTCCAGAACGAGAGTGTGTGTGAGAGAGAGAGAGAGAGAGAGAGAGAGAGAAGGAGAGGGAGTGAGAGAGAGAGAGAGAGAGAAGGAGAGGGAGTGAGAGAGAGAGAGAGAGAAGGGGAGGGAGTGAGAGAGAGAGAGAGAGAGAGAAGGAGAGGGAGTGAGAGAGAGAGAGAGAGAAGGAGAGGGAGTGAGAGAGAGAGAGAGAGAGAGGGGCGGTCTAGGGGTGGTTCCGCTGTTTCGTCGTTCCGAGACCGCAGCACCGGTGCAAGATTTTCGTCGAAAAGATCGTTACTTTCCATGAATTACTTGACGGAAATTGGATCCGGGCACATAAGTTAATCAAACGCGACAGACAAATTTCCTCGGGAACTTCCATCGCGCTCCGAATTACGTAGACACTCTTGGACGTTTTATGAAAAATGTAAAAATACGTTACGTAGACGGTCCGTTTCGAAAGTTGGCGAACAACTACATATATACGTCACGCGCGCGCGCGATTCAATCAAATTATTCTGTGAATAACGTGGCAAAGGAAGTATGTATCATTTTTTCAAGACGAAATCGAGAATACATCTCCGCGGTAGAAGATAGTTCGCGATTCTCGTTCGACAGACTTTGCTCGCTAAATTACGTAGACGCTCTTAGACATTGTATGAGAGAACCATAAAAATAGACCGTTTTACATTCAAGTTTCATCCCGATGGTACCGTACGTCGTTGCACTATTAAATCGCATTATTCTCCGAACGGCGTGGGGTGTATGATTTTTTTAAAAGACCGAGTCGATAATACAGCTCCGCGGGAGAGGAAAGATAGTTCGGAATTTTCTCAACGGAAAGAGAAACGTGGCACGAGGGTTGATTCTGCGCTGCATCCAGGTGACCCGAATTTATTTGCGATAGTGTCAATTTTACGACGCGTGTTATAGAGACGCAATACAGACGGCGGGGACCGCGCAACAGCACCAGAAACATTCGGTCAAATACCAGTGGCATAAAAATTCATGCACAGTCGTGGCGTGTTAAGCACCGCTCTAAATAAAACGGCAGCTCTTTGTTGAGAATTTTATCCAGATCTTAGCGCATTAGCACGTTAGCAGCCGGCAGGGTAGAATTACCCCTAGTTTTATTCAGTTCGTGTGCCGAGATGAAATTCCTGCGAGAGTCTAAGAGCATCGACGCACCGTTAGCTTCGTCCAGCTTCCTGGGAAACGTTGAATGAAAATAGTGTGAAACAAATTGCGTCGACTGTACGGAATCATTTCTTTTTTTTTTGCGACACAGCGACGCCGTTGACGAGTTAATAAAACGTGTCCCGAACAATTTTCGTCCGCTCACACGTTACAGCAGTTCGAATTCGCTTCATCAACGCCAGAATCTATCCCGGCTCGTGTATATCGTTTTATCGCAGTGACAAAATTTAAGAAATTAACTAAATTAACAAAGTACAGTTTTGAAGCGTATAAACTTTATTATCACCTATAACTAGTCGGTCCTAAATGCGGCTAGCGTATATTGTTTTATAACAATGAGAACATTGGATTTAATAGACGCTTCCACAAAGCGATATTGCGTTACGCGTTCTACTGTATAAGCGAAACATTTTGTCATAAATAGATGTAATGGGAGAGATAATTAAACCGATTCGTCATGTAGTTATAATTAGTTGAACGAAACCGGAATAATCACTTTCGTGGCGCTGACCGTTGCCAATATTATCGTAATACGTACATACACGTTTGAAGGAAGAAGTTAATCAACGAATATTTCTCGAAGAAGCTTTCTTCCATCGGTAATCGTGAAAGACTTAAATCAGAAACCAGTCATTTCGTCACAGATCGCGTTTCGCCGCGCGCGTTCCGTTTGTTTGTTAATCCCAGGCCGGTTTCGAGTCCTGTTTTCTAGAACGTGGTTGTCGACCCCGGTGTTATCGCGGTGTTACGTCGACACCGTAACACGAACACACCGCGGACACGCAACCCCCTCGGCTCGGTTTTGCATACGCGCGAACGAGCGAGCGAGCGCGTTCGCGCGCGCGCGCGTAATCGCACGCGTGTAATCGCGCGTCACTTTTTTCCCTCCCTCTCGCGGAAATAACCGAGATATCGCGCGCTCGCGGAAGATTGTCGTCCGGGAGTGATGAATCGGCTCGGAGAGAGAGAGAGAGAGAGAGAGAGAGAGAGAGAGAAAGAGAAAAAGAGAGTGTGTGTGTGTGAGAGAGAGAGAGAGAGAGAGAGAGAAACGCTCCGAAGCGTTTCGTGAGCGACTCCATCAGCAGCGGCTCGAAATAAAATTTCCTTTTAAATTCCGGTATCTGATTGGAACTTTTCAGACGATAGGAGAAACTGATTCTTCGGGTTCGAAGAAATGGAACTCGGCAGAAACTTCCCGAAGGCTGCGCCGACTTCTCGGACATGTTTAGCGTCCCTTTTGCTGTAACTTTAGCGGCC